TGGTATGCTAGTTGGATCATGTGTATATGTATATTTATAATTGTCTTTTTGTTGGTCTGTTTTACGGCATCAAATTGTTGGTTTTTCCTTTCAGAAAAAGTTAATAAATGAATGAAATATAAATAGATGATCAGCAATACATGTTGAATTATTGAGGCTTATAAAACTTTATTGGTTTGCATTTTTCAGTCTTCACTTGCAGCTGCGAGAGCAGACAACTTTTACTATCCACCAGAATGGACCCCAAAACAGGTACATTTCTTATTCAATCATATTAGTTCAATAAATTTTCTCCCAAGGAAATTTCAATGTCCTAACATAGATGCACAGATTTTCAGATTCTCACGATGAATTTTCCTTTTTCAGGGGTCTTTGAACAAATTTCATGGTCAACATGCTTTGAGAGAGAGAGCAAGGAAATTGGACCAGGGCATCTTGATAATAAGGTAGGTAGTTAATGTGATATCGTTTTTGGAAAATCTTGGCTTGGGATTGATGATTTTATTTGATTATGTGAAAGCCATGAATATCGTCAACAGTATGAGGTGATAGACGGTTTACCTTTGGAATAGGCATTCCTTTCATAACAAGTTCTTTAGTTTTTAATAAAAAAATTTGAAGTGTGGGGAATGGTTAGAAACCATCCGCCTATGGGAGGCCTCCTTAGCTTGGTGCTTCAACACCGTTGCCTACGTGCCCTTTTTAAAACAGGGGTTATGTTATTTTTTGAAAAAATAGAGTGAGATTTCCATGTCGATGATTTAATTTGTGGATTGTGTTTCTCTAATCAATTGGAGTGTTTTTTTTTTAGGTTCGAGATGCCTTACAATATATGGTGTGGTGGCTGCAACTCAATGATAGCAAAGGGTGTTAGATTCAATGCAGAGAAAAAGCAAGTTGGAAACTATTATTCTACAAAGGTATTGTTCTTGGCTGATTGTGACATATTTGCTTTTGGTACTAGTTTTGAAGGTTGTATTATGCAACGAAACTGTGACCACATACTTTTACACACACACACAATGTTTTACTCGTTTTCTTTCACTTGGTTTTATCGTTGGATTTTAGCAATCGATATATGCACATACATTCTTGCCTATTGTTCACATGCAATATTTATTTATTTATTGTTCACATTTGTCTTGGTAAGTTTGATTTTTGCCCCATGTGCATGAAACTCGTTTAGTAGAGCATTTCTTTGTTTCTGCTGCTAACCTAATTGGTAACTAAAAACTTCCTTCTTTAATTGGTGTTGGCTCTCCCCTTGTCTTTCTCCAAGTGGGGTATAGAAATCACACCGAACTAGCTCTTGAATGACTAATATTCTCTTCTTTCTCCTTTCAGATATGGAGCTTTACTATGAAAGCAGCATGCTGTAGACAAGAGATTGTTATTCAGACTGATCCAAAAAATTGCGAGTATGTGATTATTAGTGGTGCACAACGGAAAACTGAGGAATATGACATTGAGGATGCAGAAACCCTTGAACTCCCTGCGGATGAAGGTGATGATTGTTTAACATTAATAACATTTGTTTATCAGTGACACTAAACTTCACTGTCTTTTCATTGGGTTTCATTTTTAAATTTCCTTGTCTTGTAATTTACAAGTTGACATCATCATGCATGTCTGTAAGGATAGTCTCACTGCATAAATTGAAAGGTGGTGGTTTAATCCTTCAGAATGTTATTGAAACCTTTTCTAATATATTTTCTACAGAAAGGGGTAAGCTTGCAGATCCATTTTATCGACTTGAACACCAGGAAAAAGATATGCAGAAGAAGAAAGAAGCTGAGCCAGTATTGGTTCGCCTCCAGCGACTCTCAGATTCTAGGCATGCAGATGACTATACTCGGAACAGAACACTTCGAGCTCAGCTCAGAGTATGTCATCTCATTGTTACCATGTTTCTCATCTCTTTCTGTTCTGCTTTTAACAACTTCGAATGACTATGCTTGATACACTTGCATCCATCTTCTCAGGGTCAAAAGAAGAGAATTGCTGAAGAAGAAAATGCTTCACGGAAGATGGGCCTCGGTATACGATTACTTCCAGCAACTGAAGAAGATTCTTCAACTGCAGCTCGCATGAAGTTCTCTTCAAAATTTGAGAAGAACCGTAGGAACAAACGGGCACTGATTCATGCTTCCTCAATATTTAATGGATCATCCAGTTCTTCCATGCCTGATAAGAAACGATTGGACCTGGAATCCAAGCGAAGGAAAATCTGTGCTTCCGCAGCTTCAAGCATATTGACAGGTGGTTTCAAGCCATCATCTTGGTCACGAAGTGCTGCTCCAGCTACTTTAAGCAGACTGGAAGGAACTTCTGTCACTGCTAGACGACTGTAGTGTGAATGGTCTTCAAATTCAGGTCTAGCTTGTTTGTTCAATATGTACATAGATTTCATGTGGGCGGACCTATCTGAAATTCTTTCTAGAATCCCATTGTAGTATATTGGGTTTCATTTCTGGCGAATCTGCACTGTGCAGAAAAAATTTATATGCATCTTCATTTGCTTCTCTTAAAATCTTTGTATCCACCTTGTACAACTTTTGCACTTGGATGAATTAATATCTGCTGTGTATTACTGGCGGCGGAGGGGATATCTTTACTCTGTTAACAGCGACTGAAGTAAAGAGAAACAGGCAGACTCTTAAAAGTTCAGATTCTCCTTCACTTTTCTGGTACCCGATATGTTTGCATTTAAAAATAGGACATGTTCTTAGTTAGACAATACTGTCAGACCCTGAATCGCCTATCACTGACCGTAGGATCACGTAACTGTGGTTAAAACTTAACCCAAAGTAACTAACCTGATTATGATAAAAGGCAGGACAGTGGAGAGTTGCCGTCTGTCAGTTCACTTCCAGTACATCCAAAGCGCCATCAAATGCAATGGACAACCCTCCTTCCCAACCCCAAGAGAAAGAGGAAAAAGAACCCCCTGAAATAAGATCTCTGCTTTTATGGGATGCTGTTTCTTAGCTTAACAATGCAGCATTTTTCATGTTCACTTTCTATTGAACAGTCTCTTTCATTGTATTGTGCTTTTTTCTTTTCTTCTCATTCTAAGTGGGTGGTAACCAAGAATATCTTGCATCATATGAATTTTTCCAAGCTTTCAGATCAGTTCTGGTTAAACAGTCTGTTTTCTTCCTGTTTTTTTTGTCCCCTCTCTCTCTTATAGTTAATTGTAGTTTTGATTAGAATCATTTTTATTTTTATCTCTCTCTAAGAAACGTGTTTTAAAATAGTGAGGTTGACCATCATGTGTAATAAATCTCACATTGGTAGTTGGACCGTCATATGTAATGAATCTCACATTGGTTAAGTTGGAGAGGAAACGTAACATTTCTTATAAGTGTATGAAAACCTCTCACTAATAAACGATACATAACGAGTGAAAGCAAACAATATTTTCTACCGATAAACTTGAACAGTTAGACCAAGCAACATGTTGCTACAAGGAGTGTGCAAAAAAGAAATATGTCACATCAACTAGAAATGGCATGCCCTTATGCTTGACTTTTTTAGGCCTCCTATCAGTCACTTTTGCATATCTGTTTTCTCCTCTCCACGTACACTCTAATCTGTGGTATATATGGTCAGTCCATCCCTTTCACTTTACCCTCTCAGCACTCACTTCCCCTTTCCTAATTAAGCGTTGTTTATTGATGTTCCCTTTTCTTCAAATACTGAATAAGCCCGTAACCAACAAACAATGGAGGGCTCCTCCTGAACTTATTGCTGTTTTCATATCAATGGCCACCTACCTACACAAAGGTACTTCTGCTTTCATATTTTGCTTTTTTCTTTTCTATCCATAACTCCTTTGTTTCTTCTCATCGAGTCCTCCTTTGTTTCTTCTCATCGAGTCCTCCCTCACACCATTAGGCATATCAACATCTCAACAATTTTATAACTTAGTTTGGTCTACAACCTTTTCCTTACCGCTATGACAAATCCAAATTTGTGTTCCTTTCAGCCTTTCATTCTAATCAATGAAAACTTCAGTCTCCACCCATAATAGAAAATTTCAGCCTTTTAGGGTTCCAGAAATCATTTGGTTGGGTTCATGACCCTAACAATCAGAATTCGCAACTCAATTCAATCTAATACAACTCTCTGTTTTTAAATTGATGGTCGGTTGTCTTCTTTTAAATTATTTTTAAAAACTTCTAATTGTCCACAATAAAAATTACGTTAATAACTAAAATCTCGTAAAGTTCTAAGTATCAAACATTTTCAAGTCACAATACATCCTACATCCTTAACATCAGTTAAAAATGTCTAATAATCTTCATTTTTATAATCGTCTTAAAAGGAATGAGTTGAACTGTAATCCTATTATTTTTTAGTTACCTGCAGACCCACCAAAAATTCCAATTTTCTAAAAATTCAACCCGTTTTAATCTGATGAAAAAAAAAAAAAAAAAAAAAAAAAAAAAAAAAAAAAAAAAAAAAAAAAAAAAAAAAAAAAAAAAAAAAAAAAA